AAAGAGCAGAATACAATGCCCATTCTGGTTGGCTGGAGTCAACAGGTCTAGGGCACTCAGAGTCAGTCAGTACCAAAGGACACCCAGAGATGGGTGGGGCTGGAAAAGAGGGGGGCCTGAAATAGACTGAAGAAGTGTTAGACCAAAGGCAAGAGAAGACATGGGAACTAAAGTTCCAAAACAGTAGGCTGGGGACAGTATACAAGGATGTGGTACAAACCTAGAGCTCTTGGCTGTCATACAAGTACCGTGGGTCTGAGAACCCGAGGAGAGTAACTGCTTGCAGTCCACACTAATTTAAGTACCTCGTCACTGAAGGTATACGAGCCACCAGGCACATCCCTCTCCACCAGGAGGCTGGACTCTGCTGGCACCTGTGACTGAGGACGGCAGTGAGGGCACAGGGCTATGCCCTTGTAATAGCCGGCCTTCCTCGAACATTCTCCTTATGTCTACTTGCACGCTTTCTTGCTCTCTCTATATATATATGCACACACAAACATATACACATACACACACATACACACACACACACACACACACAAACTTAAACTGCTAAAGCATTTCTAAATCAGGAAAAGAATAAGTCTATAAAAATTACCTCCATTCCCTTCCTAATAAGAGCCCAGTCAGGGACTGACTGATTCTACCTAGCTGACGGTCTGTTTCTCACAGTCACCCACACATAAGAAATGTTTACCAGTGGTGACACTGGATGGCACCTGCTGGAGCAGACGTCAAGTTCCAGATCAGCCTCTCTGACATGATATACTTCACAGGAAACAAGACTAGAGCTTTAAGTTACAAAGAAGGATACTTAATACTCTTTAGGGAAAAAATCAGTACCTATCCTGAACTCCTAGCTAAATTTCCTATCCCTAATAGTTTGGGGGGAATATACATAGAAATTGCCAAGAATCTTTAAATCCTGTATTTTCAAAATCACTTTTGTCGAGTAGGAGGATAAATACAGCTTTCAACTGTCATAATCTCAGTTCTTGAATGTGGTTTAACTTCCAGGATCTGGTAGGCATCAGACATGAAGATAATGTATGGAAAATAGCACAGGAGCAACCAAAAACTGACAATCTGATCTAATACCAGCAAGACCAGATATTGAAAGTGCTTGATAAACTAATAGTTTTTTTACATCATCTATTTCAACAAAGTGGAATCAGAGTTACATAAAATCACTGGTTACAGGAAATGTTTCAACAAGAACTAAATCCATTTTATTCTCTAAAGGCAAATGGTTCAACTGTCAACTGTCAACATTTTTAGGGGTTCCCCCTAAATGTGCCCTCTTTTGTATTCTGATGAAAATTAACCAATTATTAACTTTGAAGCAAGGTCAATTAAAGAAAGAAGAAGCTCATTTCCGAACACGAATCAATACACCTTCAGATACCTGGGGTGGGTCAAAAGACAGTCAAAGTTATCAGCCGCTTCTGGTGGAAACAGCAATGACTTAATAATGACTTTATAAAGAATTTTTAAAAGTAAATATTTTCCTTTTAATTCTGTTAAATGGATAAATGCAATAGTGATTACGTATTCATTTCACCATGAACTATAATCTGTTAATTTGGGGAAGGTTTGGCTTTTACAGAAGATTTTTAGTCTTTCCCTCACGGATACTGAGGAATGTGTTACTAAATGTATTTTACCTTTGCTTTTGCCACAATGATATTCAGAATCAAATATGCAGTCACACCATAGTAACCACATGAACTTTTATCTTTCAAATGTGTTTTAGTTCTTCCACATTCCAATAAATTAATATTTTTGCTGATTTTAATTACTGTCTTTCAATTTATGACACCATTTTATTTCAATTATTTCTAGTTAGGCTCAGATTTTTGTGCAATAAGCAAGAAATATAATACTTTAAAATGTATTTAAAACAAAGATCTAACAATAGTTCTATCACCCTGATTACTCTATACCAGAACACAGAATAAATAAAGGCTAGTAAAGATTCCACTCAAATACTTACCAGGAGCAATGGTCTCCAGCGTATCAGAACTGACCTTCCGAGTACTTGTACAGTGATGGAGGGTGGAACCCGAAAATACCAAGTAAAACACTACATCATCCTCAACTTTGTCCTCTTCAGCGAGCAGTACAGTAACAACACAATCGCCCTAGGAAAAGGGAAGAGAGAGCAAATTTGCATTAGTAAGGTTCCTCTTGGGAGCTTATCTTTAGAAAACATCAAATTTAAGGGGAAATCAAATGTATCATCTAAACTGTGCCCATTCTAGTGAGTTTATACAAATATAAATACCGATTGAGCCCCTATGTGCCAGGAAGTATTCTAGGCATTGAGAATACAAAACAAACTGAAAATAAGATCTCTGTCCTCTTTAAGCTTACATTTTAGTGGAGATGGTTAGACAAATAAGTAAACCAACAAGATAATGGTACATTCACTTGGGGAAAAACATTTTTAAGAATGTAAAATAGCTCCCTAGAAAAGCTCTGGAGGGCTTCCCTGGTGGCGCAGTGGTTGGGAGTCCACCTGCCGATGCAGGGGACGCGGGTTCGTAGCCCGGTCCAGGAGGATCCCACATGCCGCGGAGCGGCTGGGCCCGTGAGCCATGGCCACTGAGCCTGCGTGTCCGGAGCCTGTGCTCCACAACGGGAGAGGCCACAGCAGTGAGAGGCCCACGTACCGCAAAAAAAAAAAAAAAAAGCTCTGTAAAAATTCCAGGAAAATCTAAAAATAAGGCAGAGAGGATGGAGGAAGTATATTAAACAGTTACATCCTTATACTCAGAATGCCCCTTAACCTCTGTGTTCCATTTGCAGCAATAACTCTCTAAACTCTACATCCCACAGAATCACTGCCAAGTCCACCCATTCTCCATCAAACATGGAGAGCCTCTAACAGAGCTGGCCTGGAAGTGGTAGAGTGCAAAGAGCTTGGGCTCCAGACAAATCTGGGTTTAAATTCCATCTACAAAGACTTTACTTAAATCCTCTAAGTCTCAGGTTCCTTGACTATATAAATGGAGATAATACCTTCTCTTCTTACAGCTAATATGTGAGAATTCTTGAAGCATATTCACCACTCAGCCTAGGATAATATTCTTAATCTATGAGGATGGGAGGGGCGCTTTTCCAACAATTTGTGTTTCCTGACCATCTGGAATCGCTACTCTTCTTTATCCACCCCTCCCTTAAGCCCACGGAATCAGACATAAATCTTGTGCCAGTAACTCTGCCCGTGACTCTGCAACTATTTAGAAGTTAAGACATCTTCGTCCTTTATTTGCAAATATTCTTCTAGCAATTTTTATACATTTTTAAAAATTGAGGTCACTGGCTAAATTAAATTTATTCTATGAAATACAGTCCTAATTACCATTCTCCCAATCATAAACATTATATAATTCATGTGGTAACCATAAACAAAAGATTTTAAAGCACTGAGGTTTAGTACTGTGTAAACCTTAATGATGCATTATGGAAAATCCAATTTAGAGAAAGCCAGGCCATTTTAACATTAAATAGGGGAGAGAATTCCCATTACTTAAAACATTTTTTTCCTTTCCACTTTAGCAGTAATAAAGCCTATTAGAGAACCATGGTTCCCTGTGGCCACAACTTAATGGCCAGCAGCAGAAAGGAGCAGCAGGTAGTGTTTCACTAAATAATAAAAACCAAAAATCATGAAGTCAAACTTGGGATCAAGTCTAGTAACAGAAATGCTCCAGCAGGTTGATTCTGAAGACCAAATTCAAAGTATTTCCTATAGCCCTGAGTGTCTCTTTCTTATTTTTCCCCAGTACTCTGTGTAGCCCCCTGTATATGGTAGGGGTTCCAATCTGTTGTAAGAAGTCAGAATGAACTACAAATAAGCTGTAACTTACTAGGACTGCTGAACTGGAAAGCTCCAAAGCACCCTAACACAGGAATAGCACAGTCGGTACAAGAGAATTATCACTGACTTCAGACACTATTTAGAATTATACTTTTGGACTTGTATATAAGTCCCTATCTTGGGGACTTTATTAACAGTACTGAAATCACCTTTATGTACTTATTAATAAGTAAAAAAATATATATTATTTCCACTAAGATTTCTAACCTGGAAATCTAAGAATAGATCTTCCTTTTCTAGATCAAGGATTCTCTCTCTGCATTAGACCTACCATCTTGCTGAGAGACTCTCCATGCCCCAAGACATTAGTTGTGTCTGGGGCCTTCCTTTAACTGGGGACAGTAACTTGATTTGGGGAAAAAAATGAAATCAGGAAGAGAAGAGCATCTGAGGGATGGGAGAGAGTGACTTACAGTGTGGGGCAAACAAGGCGTTGGAAACAGGGAAGATGTTAGGTGGAGATTAGAGGAATGAGATAGGGAGTTTTGTGGGAGGAATGATAGAAGAAGGGATAGCACTGATCTCTTAGACAGCAAGACAGTGTCAGTCATGAGGCTCCTGAAGGTGGGCAGTCAGCAGCAAGATAACTGCAGTGGCATGCTGGAGCTGGCCTGTACAGGCTTGCCAGAGCGCATCATATTTTCAGGATTTCTGCAAGCCAGGTGTTAAACGGCCATTATTAAAAAGTAAATGAGGGCTTCCCTGGTGGCGCAGTGGTTGAGAGTCCGACTGCCGATGCAGGGGACCCGGGTTCGTGCCCCAGTCCGGGAGGATCCCACATGCCGCGGAGCGGCTGGGCCCGTGAGCCATGGCTGCTGAGCCTGCGCGTCCGAAGCCTGTGCTCCACAAAGGGAGAGGCCACAACAGTGAGAGGCCCGTGTACCGCAAAAAAAAAAAAAAAAAAAAAAATGATACAAGCTTACAATTAAATAAATTAAAAAGAGATGTAATAAATACTCGAAACATCACATTTGAATCTTTTGCCACATCTTACTATTATCTACGCTCTTGAGGTTTACATCTGTTGTATCTGTTATAATGATGTGCTACTGCACATCTTTTCCCAACACACCTCTTGCCAATTCTGTGTTCAGTGATGTGGCATTGATATCTTGAAGTCAACGATTATGGGTATATTTACACCACTGAAATTGGCAAATACTACAAATCAGGGTTTGGTTTGGTTTTTTTCTTTTTAACCGTCACATGATTGAGAACAGGTCAGTAGAATGGAAGAGGGGGAAAGTAAGAGAATTTCGTTAGGGAGGCCCAATCAAGAGAGGTCACTGCTTACACGGAGTAAGAGTGGAGGAGTAAGAGAAAACCCTAGGCAAGTACAAAGCATCTCAGGTATAGACAACAATGCTGCCATAGTTCTGTTCCCAAGAGTTCAACAGAATCACCACCTTAATTTGTTTTCTAACTTTCAGACTTGGCTTATAACTTGTTACCATACCACAGTAGTTAAGAGGATGGTCTCTGCCTGAATCACAGTATGGCACATCACTTTGCAGCTGTTTAACCTGGGGTATACTAAATTCTCTGCCATAAGAGAGCAACAATCACACTTACCTCATAAGGTTGTTTTAAGAATTAAATGATTGATAAAAGCAAAGCACCTACAGCAGTGCATTGGCACATAATAAATGTTCAATAAATGATAGTTATAATGTACTGTACAGCATGATGACTACAGTTAACTAGTTAACAATACTGTATTGTTCATGTGAAAGTTGCTAAGAGAATAAATATTAAATGTTCTCATCACAAGAAAAAATCTGTAACTATACGTGATGGATGTTAACTAAACTTACTGTGGTAATCATTTTGCAATATATCAAATCATTATGTTGTATACCTCAAACTCATACAATGTTATATGTTAATTATATCTCAATTTAAAAAAATGATAGCTATTATTATTTACCAGAATGTAAGCCCCATGAGAACACGTTTTACTCACTTATTCCCTTTGTCTAGAATAATAAGTAGCAGGTGCTCAAAACACATATTGGAAAAGAAAGAAAAGGAGACCCCAAAACTTTAATAGTAGTTATTCCTAGGTAGTAATTGAGGCCAATTTTAATTTACTTTGTGCTTTGGTTTTCCAATTTTTAAAAATAAAGATGGATTATTTTAAAAAGAAAAAACTTACTTTTAAAAATAATCTGCTCACTTATAAATTACAAAGGGAAAGATAGAAACCTGGCACATACCATATGAATCAAGTGATCAAAAGTTAACAACACAAATAACGAAACGAACTAACATCACATGTCTTCTGATCCCACCCACTGAGGACACAGCATCACTTAAGTGTTCCTAATAAAAATGCACAGCCTCAACCTAGTCAGAAGAAAACATCAGACAAACCCAAATTGAGAGGCCTTCTATAAAACTTAAAAAACAAACACACACAAAAAAACTGGCCTGTACTCTTCCAGAATGTCACTAATGAAAAACAAAGACTGAAGTACTATTCCAGATTAAGGAGACTGAACAGACTTTCCAACTAAATGTGATACATGATCCTGGGCTGGACCCTGAACAATAAAAACAAATTGCTATTAAGGACATTAACGGGACAAGTGTCCAGATTTGAATGAGGTTTACACATTTAACACTGTACCAATGTTAAAATCTTCCTGGTTTTGGTAGCTGTGCTGTGGTTATGTAAGAGAATATCCTTGTTCTTAAGAAATACACAATGAAGTATTTGGGGTAAAGGAGCATGTCTACAAGTTACGCTCAAATGATTCAGGGTAAAAAATGAGAGATAATGATTAAGCAAATGAGGTAGAGTGTTAACAGCTGGTGAATCTGGGTTTAGGGTATATGGGATTTCTAACTTTTCTGTAAATTTGAAATTATTTTAAAATAAGAAGTTTCCAAGAAAAAATTTTTCAAATAATTTATATGATCAGATATTCAAAGTTATAAGGTGCAAAATTAAGTTACATTTCTGAGGCTAATTTTTATATCTTGCAGACATAAATATTTAGTACAGATATTCTTGCAGGATCCCAGAATGATGAAGTTATAACAATAACTAGCTTTTATTCAAGAATCTTAAAGGAGGTTTACAGGTCTTCCCAAATCAATTTCCCAGTTTGCCAAAATGACAAGATTTATACCCAACAATCATAAGGGAAAAGTGAAACAAAGAAAGTTAAGCAATACTAAGTAAATACTGAGCATTACTCCAAAGTATTATCTTTCCATGAGGTGGTAAATATTATAGTACCAAAAGAATAACTC